CAACAACAACAACAACAAATTCATTAACAACATTGTTTAGACCAGGAGCATTTTCAAGTTCTGAGGCACCTGAGATACTAGAACAACTTGTTAAATCCTTTAAAACTAAAAAACCTACTTTAATTATTTAAAACCTATTAATTTTTATTGATATTTGTTATCAGTAAATAAATTTGGCATGCAGGTATTAAAAGATGAATGGAATAAACAATTAGAGGTTTCTATATTACCTAGACAATAGGAGGGTGTCCTAACTTCTATAGTAAGAGTGTCAATGGACCTTAAACTACAACTTATAGAACAAAAAATATTCAGAATTTATTGGACTCCATTATGTTTGTATAGAAAAGGACTGCTTAAGATAGCATTTTGTTGGAGATGTAACAAACATAATGCTTCTTTAAAACATATGTTTTTACAATGTTTCGAGAGAAAGTAGTGAACCACATAAATGTGACTCTGCAACAAAAGCTAAAATTTTCAGAGGATAATATTCTCTTGAATTACATACCTAGTACATGGAATTTGACAAGTGGAGAGTGTAAATGGATTCTCTATGACTTTACTATGGCTAAAAAATCGATATTGCGACACTGGAAAGATAAATGTATGGCCAATTAACTCAATGGATTGAAGACCTGATTGCACTTGCCGCTTATGAGCGGATTGCCTATAGACGTAGACTTTGTATGGGCAAGTGTAATGAAATATGGGGCTCATTTATACAAAATACAGTAGGTTAGGAAAAAGCATGACAGTTATATAATTCTACTAGAAATATATATATATATACACACAAACACGCACACACATACTATTTGCATTAGATAAATATATATAAATGACATATTATACTTTATATAGTTTTATACGTTTTTTCTGTTGCATTTTTCCCACTTTTTAAGCACTTGTTACATAATTGTTTTTTATTTTGATAATGTATGTATCTTTGTATTTTGTTCCTTTTTTTCTTTGTTATTATAAAATAAAATGTAAAATAAAATGTTTGGACAGCACAGAAAACTAGAGGAGAAGTTACCTAGGATCACTGGGATTATAGCTTAACCCTATGTTCCATGGTCATCAAAGAACAATGATAGCACAATTTAGTCAAAGAACAGTCTTGCAGAGCTTTTCTTATTCTTTAGAACCCTTGCTAGCTACATTGTCTTCTCCATTTCATTCATGTAATAGAATCTGTATCAAATAGATCCAACTTTCATTCTGAACATATGAAGGCCAGATTAATTTCTGGGGCTAAATTTAAATGATTCACAGATCTCTATCAACAGCTTTATCACAAGAGAACATTTCCTTTCAGTTAATCATGAAGACAGATAAATCAAAAACTGAATATGCAATGAATTCTATTTTAGTTCTGCATTTCTAACTGATATATAGAAATGTTATCTAATAGCCTAAATACATTTTGTAAAGGAGTATGGTTTTAATTTATGGCGCTAAATGACCAGATAAATGAATACAAGAACTCTTAATAGCCAGGCTAAATTTATGTTAATAGCTTCTCTTTCCATCACTAGCAAGTGCCTAATTTACTCTAATATCCAGCTGTTAGTACACACCAGTTTTTCTTAACAATGAGAAGCCTGTTTGAAGAATCCTCTCTGTAATTAAGACACTCAACAGAAAGCTATTGATTTAAAAAGAATGTTCCTAACATTCTTTTATTTTGTGACAAGTATTCTTTATTTCATGTTAAAACAAAAAAATCCTTCTTTAGTCTAAAGAAATACATTATTGGTTATGTAAATCATGTACTAACATAACTACCTATTACTATATGCAGACTTTAAAGATAATATAAGCTGGTATACTTGGTTTTTTGTGCAGTGTTCTCTCTATTCAAATATTCAACTCTATACAAATCTTGTATAAAAAAAATAAAGAGGAATGCAAATAATCAATAATCCAGAACTGAAATGCACATATACCCTTTCCATACATTATACACACAAAGGTGCTCCTTACAAGATCAGTTGTGGGTCAGTTGTTATGAAACACTACATTCATAAGATAAGAGGATATCCAACAAAGGGGAAAAAAGGGATGAATAGGAATACACTTCAAATTTCCTTGGCCTTCTATCTTCGATATTAAGCTATATTTAGCTCCTTGCAACACTATATTTAGAAGCTTGAAAGCATAATACTGTACTATATTTGCACAGTTATATTTTAGCCAAGCATTTGCAACATTCAGAGTAGTAAAACAGCAACCTGACAAAATGTTAATACATAGGCTGGGAGTATAGAAATAAAAAATAATGAAAAAATGTATGTCCAATTATATTAATATTCTATACCAGTGTTTCTCAACTTTGGCAACTTTAAGATATGTGGACTTCAACTCCCAGAATTCCCAAGCAGCATACAGTCTGCCATATAGTTGAGGAGCAAGCTGCGTGATATCCAATTCAAAAATAAGAATAAACAACACAGAGTAGCATGTCTGCCCAATGCACAACTTTCCCTCCTGGTCTTGTCAGAGGCAGTCAGATGGGGAAGACAAGTATGGTTTAGCACACAGGTAAGAAAGATTTAAACTTCCCCATCCTTGCACACTGGGTGGACAAAATGAATAAATGTGTTGGTGTAACAGAACTGACAACCCACAGATCCACTTCCCATTTTAAAAAACCTATCTGGTGAATTGTTTTCTACAATTTCTTTTATTGTCTCTCTATTACTTGCTTCAGTTCCTACCATATCTTCATACATTTTTACTCCTCAGACAATGAGTAACACTGAATGTACTTTAGGAAAATGCAGTGGGGAAGGTAATTTACACCAGGTATTAAAAATCAGATCTTCTAAATGGATTCAGTCTCATTTTGCCTTTATTTTGATGACTGCTGATTGCCTTCCTAGCA